GGGAACTGACCCCTCTCCACCCGCGGATGCCACCAGGACCACACAAAGGTCCTGGGACAGTGACCGGCACTCACAGCACCAGCACTCAGCACTGAGCACCCAGTGAGGAGCAGCACCCAGTGAGGAGCAGCACCAGCACTGAGCACCCCTGTGGAGAGCAGCACCCAGCACTCAGCACCCAGCACTCAGCATCCCAGTGAGGAACAGTACCCAGCACTAAGCACCCTGAGCACCCCAGTGAGGAGCAGCACCCAGCACTGAGCACCCAGTGAGGAACAGTACCCAGCACTCAGCACCTTGAGCACCCCAGTGAGGAGCAGCACCCAGCACTGAGCACCCAGTGAGGAACAGTACCCAGCACTCAGCACCTTGAGCACCCCAGTGAGGAGCAGCACCCAGCACTGAGCACCCCAGTGAGGAGCAGCACCCAGCACTGAGCACCCCAGTGAGGAGCAGCACCCAGCACTCAGCACCCAGTGAGGAACAGCACCCAGCACTCAGCACCCAGTGAGGAACAGCACCCAGCACTCAGCACCCAGTGAGGAACAGTATCCAGCACTCAGCACTCTGAGCACCCCAGTGAGGAGCAGCACCCAGCACTCAGCACTCTAGTCAGGAGCAGCACCCAGCACTGAGCACCCAGTGAGGAGCAGCACCCAGCACCGTGCAATCTACCCTCTGCACAGATTAATCCTCATTTTCAGTTTCCTCAGGAATTCTAAGCAGTAAAAGCACACAACGGCTCTGCAGGAAACAGTGACACTTTTTCCAGACCCCGACCCACAGCGGGAGAGCAGTGTGGCTGGGCTGGGCTGGGGCCTGCCTGTCCTTAGCCTCTGCCTGGGGTGCCCTCCACAGCCCTGCCTTTCTCTCCCCCAACGGAGACTTAACAGAGACATTGCTGCAACGTCCCCTCACCTGCCTGTGACCCCTCAAGAGTTCATTTCAGGGGCCGGCGCAGCGGCGTAGCGGGTAAAGCCGCCACCTGCACTGCCAGCATCCCATGTGGGCGTGAGTTTGAGTCCCGGCTGCTCCACTTCTGATCCAGCTCTCTGCTGTGGCCTGGGAAGGCAGCAGAAGATGGCCCAAGTCCTTGGGCCCCTGCACCTGCGTGGGAGACCCGGATGAAGAGCCTGGCTCCTGGCTTCGGATCAGCACAGCTCTGGTCATTGTGGCCACTTGGGGAGTGAACAGCGGATGGAAGACCCTCCCCTCGCTCTCTGCCTCGCTGTAACTCCGCCTTCAAATACATAAATGAATCTTTTAAAAAAAAAAGCTATTTCAGCAATGGCAGCACGTGTGTGCTTTAAATAAAATGTGCTCACGTAAGAAACCAAATTGACGCTAAAACCTCAGCAAACGTTCGCGTGAGAACCCTCGAGCAGCTTCCTCAGGACGCTCGCCCGGGCTCCCGCCACGCCCGACAGAGCCTGCTCTCTCCCACGACAGCCACAGATCTTGATCCACTCGCTCCAGGCCTCACTGCGTTCTGACAGAAATGAAACCACGCGCCACACTCCACATCAGCCACTAACACCTCACGAAAATGAAGAGCCGCGTGGACAGAAACAGGCTAGAAGCCGGCTCTGATGGGCTGGGCGTGTGGCAAAGCGGCTGGAGCCGGCTAAAATGCGTGTGGCCGCCTGGGTTCAAGCTCCCACCCTACTGACCCGGCTTCCTGTAACGGGCACCCTGGAGACAGAGGTGATGGCCAAGGGTGTGGGCCCCAGCCTCCACATGGAGACCCAGATGGAGTTCCTGGCCTCTTTCTGTCACTCTGCCTTTGAAACAGATAAAAATAATAATAGTAATAATAATAATAATAACAGAAACAAAAATGCTGATTAGAAGAATCCAAACTGGCCAGCTCTGGGGCCAGTGCTGTGGAGTAGAAGGCCAAGCCTCTGCCTACAGTGCTGGCCGCTCCACTTCCGATCCAGCTGCCTGCGAATGAGCCTGGGAAAGCAGTGGAAGGTGGCCCAGCATGCACGTGGGAGACCCGGTTGAAGCTCCTGGCTTCAGCCTGGCCCAGCACTGGCCATTGCAGCCATTTGGGGAGTGAACCAGAGGATGGAAGACCTCTCTCTCTCTCTCCTTCTCTTTCTGCACCTCTTTGAAATGAATAATAAATAAATAAATGTTCACATTGGCCAGCCCCAGGGGTCAGGAGCATCACCGTCCGCTCCCACCCTGCGGCCAGGGCAGCAGCAGGACCGCCCACCAGTGAGGCCAGCACTGCCACCGCCCCGGGGGCGAGAGGCCGCCCACAGGGGGCAGAGGTCAGGAGGGAGGCAGGGAGCGGAGCCCTGGTCAGAGGCGGTCAGCGCGGTGCGGGAGGCAGCGGGAGCTCCACTGCCCATCACGCAACAGCGCTGAGCTGGGTCACGGGACTGACGGACACGGCCTCAGACACCCAGACGGACCTTGGCCAGCGGCCTCCAGCCCTGGAGAACGGCAAATCCAGAAACGCAACACAGAGCCTGCAGGCAGGACGGGGCGTGGCAACCTGGGAGGACAGGGACAGGACAAGCCCAGGCGGTGGCCTCTCTGAGCCAGCAGGGATGCAAAGGCCTCTGGGAGTGGCCCTGGAGAAATCCCCAGAGCCTCTTCAGAGATTGTCAGAGACAAGCGAGGGGTGGGGGGAGGAGGAGGAGGCAGGGGCCTCCCCACAGCCTCAGCCTGGCCCCCCTGGAGGCCCTGCCCAGGACAATGGGGGGCGTGACCACCACCTCCAGAGCAAGGGCTGGGGCAGGGCTCTCAGCAGAGGGTACCCAACTTCCTGAGGGCTCAGCCTCAAACAGACTGCTCCCCACAGGGGCCCTGCCCCCGCCCCGGGGTGGCTTTCTCCCAGCATGCCCGAGAAGCATGGAGCAGGTGGGAGGCCGGGGCACTGCGGGCGGCCACTTGCAGACTCAAGTTGAAACCTGCAGTCGCACACCAGGCCTCAGAGGCCATGGCAAGAGTGTCCCCGGGCCCTGGAATACCAGCGAAGTCAGCTCGGCTCAGCGACAGCCACACCCACCTTGCGAGGCCTGTGGGGGAGGGGGAGCCCAGCGAGGGCCCGGGAACAGAACGCGCTGGGCGTCCATCTCTGAGCACGCCCACAGGCTCGGGCGCTGCTCACTGCGGGAGCGCCAGCGGCCTGCAGACCCACCCCGGCCTCCGCTCTGCGCTTGAGAGCCGTCTGCTTCTAGCAGGGACAGGACCATCCTCCAAGCACCAGACCCGTCCCCCAGTCCATCCACAGCCCCCGATAAGAGGCAGTCCGCAGTGGCCACGTGACTGCCAGCTCCCCAGTCCATCCACAGCCCCCTGATAAGAGGCAGTCCGCAGTGGCCACGTGACCGCCAGCTGCCCGGCCTCCCTCCACGGCTCGGAACCCACCCACGCCAGCAGGGAGCACCCGCAAGCCGGGGCAGGATGAGAAAGACTTTCTGGGCAGGGGTGCCTGGCCGAGGTTTCTCCCCACAGGCGTCCGTGCCACAGCACACCTCCCCCGTGGGCACGCTGTGGCCGTGGATCTGCACCTGCGGGGGCCACGTCTGAAGAGCGTGTGACTGAGCAGCCTGGCCGCCGTGTCCTTACACGCTCTGTTTCATCTGTATTACGAAAACGTGGCTGAAACACACGTGTTTCAGTGACCACTCCCGCGTGGCCTGACCCGGCTGGTGTGACTGCGCTGCCTTCCAGGTCTGCCCCAGAGAAAGGCCGGCCCGGTGGGGCTGCACGCGGCTCCCAGGACCCTGGGAAGCACGCCTCACTTGTCCGAGGGTATGTGAAACCAGCCAATGGCTGCACACGGCCGACACGGTCCCTGACTCTGTGGGAAACAGCCACAGCCCAGGGAGCGGCTGCAGGGAGGAAGGGAATTCGCTGAGAATCAAAACACAGGGGCGCACGCAGCCTGGCCTGCCGGCCACACACTGCCGGCCCGGGCAGCGCAGCCTGGACCCCGTCACTGAGAGGGGGGGAGAGGGAGGGGAGGGAAAGGGGGGGAGGGAAAGGGGGGAGAGGGAGAGAGGGAAAGGAGAGGGAGAGAGGGAAGGGGGAGGGAGGGAAAGGGGGGAAACGGGGGAGGGAGGGAAAGGGGGGAGAGGGGGAGGGAGAGAAAGGGGGGAGAGGGAGAGAGGGAAGGGGGAGAGGGAAAAAGGGAAAGGGGGGAGAGGGAAAAAGGGAAAGGGGAGAGGGGGAGGGAGGGAAACGGGGGAGAGGGAGAGAGGGAGAGAGCGAGAGGAGAGGGAGAGAGGGAAGGGGGAGGGAGGGAAAGGGGAGAGAGGGAGGGAGGGAAAGGGGGGAGAGGGGGAGGGAGGGAAGGGGGGAGAGGGAGAGAGGGAAGGGGGAGGGAGGGAAAGGGGGGAGAGGGGGAGGGAGAGCGGGCTGCACGCATCTCCTGCCTCCCACCTCCAGGACACCACTTCCGATCCGGACCGAGCGGGTAATTTCGCCTCCATCTTCCCAAGCCGCTAACGGCCGCGCCCGCAGTTCACCCGCCCCTGCGCGAAGCATCCGCACGGCCTCTCTGGTCTCCAGGCTCGGCCCCGCGAGGCCGGGGTCGGGACGGAGGGGTCTTCCCGCAGAGGCAGGTCCGAGCACGCGCCGGCCGGGACGCGGGGCCTGCGGCCTGCCGGCCACCCAGCCGCTCCAGGTCCGCGCCTCCGGCCCGCGCCGCACCACTTCCAGTCCCATCCCACGGCGGCGCCTCCGGGAAAGCCCAAGACCCCAGAGGCGCTGGCGGCCACACGCGGCAGCCGCGAGTCGACGCCCGAACTCTCAATCAGTGCAAACTCGGGGCAGCCGGGACGGGGCGCCGAAGGGCAGGGGCGCAGGCCCAGGCCGCCCGCCTCGCCCGAGCCCGCTGTCCCCTCGGGCCCCGCTTCGGGCGCAGCCGCCGCAGACACCACGGAGCTCGCCGCGAAGGCGCTGCCCCGGGGCTCGGCCCGCGCGCCCCGCCAGCCCGGCGGCCGCTCCTCCCGCCCCGGGCCCGCCGGCCCCGCGCTCACCGAGGTGCAGCGTGAGGTTGATGGCGCTGGGGTACTGCACGCCGGCCAGCATGGTCTGGCTCTGCCACCAGGTGGTGTCGGCCTGGTTGTTGTAGTCGGTGAGGAAGGCGGCGCCGTGCCGCAGGTGCGGCTGCGCGGCGTCGCACAGGTGGCAGGACTTGGTGACCCCGGTCACCCCGGTCTGCACGCAGTACTCCTCGGGCGGGCTCCCGCACGTGTTGGTGGCCACCACCGTGGCGTTGAAGGCGGCGTTGACGAACTCGGGCATGCAGCGCTGCGGCCGCCCGCGCTCGTCCGCGCACTCGTCCATGGCCGCCCGCGCGCAGCCCGCCGCCGCCGCCGCCAGCACGGCCAGCGCCGGCCACAGCGCCCGGGCCCGCATGTCCGCGCCGCCGCTCCGCCCCGCGCCCCGCGCCCCGCACACCGCGCCCGCGCCCTCCGCTCGCGGCGCCCACCCGGCCCGACCTCCGCGCCCGCCCGAGCGCGCCGGGAGGAAGAGCAGGGGGTGGGGCCGGCAGGCGGGTGGGGTCGGCGCGGGAGGGGGAGGGGAGGGGAGGGGAGGGGAGGGGCGGAGCGCAGGCCCGGCCCCGCGCCCGCCCCCGCCCCGCGCGCAGCCCGCACTCGCTCGGCGTGGGGAGGGGCGCCGGGGCAGGGCCGGGGGCGCTGCGGAGGGGGGGGCGGCGAGGGATGGGGGGGCGCGGGCAGAGCGCGGAGGGGGAGGGGCGCGGGCGGTGCATGCCGGGAGGGCGGCGGGGGCGGCGGGGACCCTGCGCCCCGCCCCGGCCTTTCTCGGGGTCCTCCGGGAGGGGCTGAGGGGCGCCGCGAGCTCAGCCCGGGCGTGGGCGCGGCCTCGGCGTCCCCGCCTGCTCCTCGGCCCTGTTCGGGGCTGCTGAGTCACGGGGCTCGGGTGGGGGACTAGGCCCGCGGGGCCGAGCCCCGGGCCGGGAGTGCGCCTGTGAGTGCGCGCGTGACAGTGAGATGGTGAGTGCGTCCGTGGTTGCGAGATGGTGTGCGTCAGTGTGATTGTGAGTGTGAGACGGTGATTGTGGCAGACGGTGTGAGAGTGTGAGCGTCAGTGAGCGCGTGACAGTGAGATGGTGAGTGCGTCCGTGGTTGTGTGAGGTGGTGTGTGTCAGTGTGAGTGATTGTGAGACGGTGTGTGAGTGTGTGACAGATGATGTGTCTGGTTGTGTGAGACGGTGTGTGAGGGTGAGAGTGAGCATCAGCGCGCGACAGATGGTGAGTGCATCCGTGGTTGTGTGAGGTGGTGTCAGTGATTGTGTGAGATGGTGTGTGTCAGTGTATGGTGAGTGAGTGTGAGCATCAGTGAGCGTGTGACAGTGAGATCGTGAGTGCATCAGTGGTTGTGTGTGAGGTGGTGTGTGTCGGTGTGAGTGATTGTGAGACAGTGTGTGAGCGTGTGACAGTGAGATGGTGTGTCTGGTTGTGAGTGTGATGGTGTGTGTCAGTGTGAGTGATTGTGAGACGGAAGGTGAGGGTGAGTGTGAGCATGTGACAGTGAGATGGTGAGTGCATCTGTGGTTGTGAGTGCGATGGTGTGTGTCAGTGTGAGTGATTGTGAGACGGAAGGTGAGGGTGAGTGTGAGCATGTGACAGTGAGATGGTGAGTGCATCTGTGGTTGTGAGTGCGATGGTGTGTGTCAGTGTGAGTGATTGTGAGACGGAAGGTGAGGGTGAGTGTGAGCATGTGACAGTGAGATGGTGTGAGTGTGAGACGGTGTGTGAGTGTGAACGTCAGTGCGTGACAGTGAGATGCTGAGTGCGTCCGTGGTTGTGTGTGAGGTGGTGTGTGTCAGTGATTGTGTGAGGGTGAGCGTCAGTGAGCGTGTCAGGGTCACAGTGCAGGAAGGTAGCTGTCCATCGGGACATGGGTGTGGCTGAGGGAGTGCAGTTGTGTCTGGGTGACCGTGGGAGGGAGTTGTGTGAGTGACGGTTGTGTGTGCAAGTGTGTGTGTGTGAGAAACCGTCCGTGTTTTGGGGCCTTACTGGCAGATTGAGATAACAAACAAGGGAACGCACAGACTGCAGGTGGCTGGCACCCGGGGGGGGCGTGTGAGGTGTGGCCCCCCACGTGTGGCCCCCGCGGGATTTCTGGCCTGAGGTGGGTGCTGAGCCCGCGCCCAGGGAAGGAAGCTGTGCTGGCTGTCACAGCGTTTGCCGAGACAAACTGCCCGGGCACGCGTCGCACGCAGAGGGGTGCTGTGTCTCAGTCTAGCACCCCAGGGCACGGGAGGGCGGCGGCCAAAGACAGGATGCCGTAACTAAAGCTGCAGCTCTGGTTTGTAAAAATTGTTCTTATTATTTATTTAAAGGGGGAGAGAGAGAGAGAGAGAGAGATCTGCCATCCACTGGTTCACTCCCCCAAATGGCCATGACAGCTGGGCTGTGGCGGGCCGAAGCCGGGAGCCTGGGGCTGCTTCCGGGTCTCCCACGGGGGTGCAGGGGCCCAAGCACTTGGGCCACGTTCTGCTGCTTTCCTGGGCCATTAGCAGGGAACTGCATGTGAAGTGGAGCAGCCGGGACTCGAACCAGCGCCCATATGAGAAGCCAGAATCCAGAATCACAGGTGGTGGCTTAACTGGTTACACTACAGTGCTGGCCCCGAGCTACAAATATTTTATTAAATATGTTCATGCGTCTTCCTGGTTATACACGCTCAGGACTTTATTCAGTACCGAGGAGCCAAAGAAAGACGGCAAAACCAGCGTGCATGCCTTTCCTTGTGCGGCTGCCTCCTTCACGCTGCAGCTCCCGACCACGGCTCCTCGCACTCAGGGAGCACAGGAGCAGGCCTGGCTCGGCTCTGGACTCTGCCACTCCCGGGAACAGCTCACAACGCCACTGTGCCGCGTGACACAAAGCGTGCGCACTGTTTGGACGCTGAGTCAACACACAAAGGTGTCGTTTGTTTTAAATTTGTTGTGTATGGGGCTGGCGCTGTAGTGTAGCAGGTAAGACTGCCGCCTGCCATACCCGCATTCCACATGGGCGTCGGTTCAAGACCGGCTGCTCCGTTTCGCCTCCAGCTCTCTGCTGTGGCCTGGAAAAGCAGTAGAGGATGGCCCAAGTCCTTGGGCCCCTGCACCCGTGTGGGAGACCTGGAAGCAGCTCCCAGCTCCTGGCTTCAGATCGGCACAGCTCCGGCTGTTGCAGCCAATTGGGGAGTGAACCAGCGGATGGAAGACTTCTCTCTCTCTCTGCCTCTCCTTCTCTTTGTAACTCTTTCAAATAAATAAATCAATCTTTGAACAATTCGTCCTGTATTTTTAAATTCCCTCCCGCAAGTATCTTAACACGAGAAAATGAAGGCGTACAAGCAGGAGTCAGGGTGGAAGGGGTCCGGGCAGGCCGGGGGCGCGCACGCCAGGAAAGGTGAGTGGGCTTTGGAGGCGTCCGCGCCCCTCGGCCGCCGTGTCCTTGCCCTCCGCCCAGCCCGCTTCCCGCCCCCTGCCACTGGGCACCTGACCGATTACCCGGAGCTCGGCCTAGGCAGACAGTCTGGGGAACCTGAACACACACTGGATCTTGGTGATGCCAACAGATCAATAAATCCAGGTGGCTGGAGACGCCGCGGCCTACTAAAGACTTGCCTTTTTGTGTTTATGCAGGGGCGTATGAAAGTTGCTGGTTCTGTTTTTTACCTTTTCCCCAAAGTCACCCTGTTTTGAAAAACTCCAGAGCCTTTTCCACACATGTGCTTGACTGCTTGGAAGGCCCGGTCTGAACAGACATCGCGAAGGTCCGCGGAGACTCGTGGCTGCTCTTAGTGCCCGGAAGGCGGGAGAGGTGAGGAGGGCCAAGACGCAGGGTCCACGCGAGAGGCTACTGCAATCCGGAGAGAGACGCTTTCTCCCTCAGGGTCTGTGCGGTGGTTTCTGGGGAGGATGCTCTGGGGAGCGGCTGGTTCCAAGGCCAGGCGCCAGGCGGGGTGTCCCCCCAGGGTGTCCACCCAGAGCCTGTGGTGCTTGGGACAATTAGAACATCTGCGCCCGCCTTCCAGGCCTGCAGCTCTGTCCTTCCTTCCCCTTGAGAGCAGTCTTCAGTCCTCCTGACCTCTGCTTGGAAGCCGAGGGTGAAGGGGGCCGGCCTGGGGTGCCGCACCTTCCCGATGGGACTGAAGGGGGTGGGGAAGTTGGGCTCAAGCCAAGGGCCCCTTGGGGGACCCCAGAGCCCCTCCGCCCCGCCTGTCGCCTGGGTTTTTAGGTCATCAGCTGGGAACTTAGAATCCGGGAAGAATGCATGGTGCAGCCCCACACAGGACCCGCCTGTGAGGCAGGGCAGCGGCAGGGGCGTGGTGCAGATCCCAGGGCAGCGAGATGAGCCTCCTCCACGCTCAGGCGCTCAGGCGAAGGCGGACTCGCCAGCCCACCCAGTGCCCCCGGGAAGTCACAGCTGGTGGGCGCTGAACCACACAGGGTCTTCACAAAACACGGAAATGCGCAGAATGAAAAAAATGCATGGGTTTCAAAATTTTTGCACCAAAACGAACTCTTTTAATTCCATTCTACCAACTTTCTGAAGGTCGCTTGTACAAATAAAAAAAAAAAAAAAGCATTTCCAAATCCCACCCCAACTCCCAACCCCACCCAGATCTTGCCACTGAGCTCTCCCAAGTTTTCCTATTGTGTTGGCCAGAGCTGCACAGCAGGAGATGAAGGTCTTTTGTGTGCAGATCTGGCGGTTATCTATCCTGGGACTCAACCTTCCTTAGCAAGCGGTTGGCTCAGACTGTTAAGAGCAGTTACTCTGAAGCCAAAGTCATTTTTTAAAAAGATTTATTTTGCATTTGAAAAGCAGGTCCCAGAGATCTTCCATCTGTTGGTCCACTCTCCAAATGGCTGGAGAGGCCTGGGCTGGGCCAGGCTGAAGCCAGGAGCTGGGAGCGTCTTCCTGCTCTCCACGAGGGTGGCAGGGATCCACGCACTTGGGCGTCCCCTGCTGCTCTCCCAGGCCCATCAGCAGGGCTGGGTGGGAAGCAGAGCAGCTGGGCTTGACCGGGTGTTGTGGTGGGGACGCCGGCATCAGGAGCGGCAGCTTCTGCCCCGCGGACCCCTTGACCCGCAGTTACTGCCGTGGGCGTCCTCCACGTTCCGCTGCCTTGTGGTTGACTGCACCGCTCCACCACAGAGGCACAGACCAGCAGGCCGGGGAGAGGGCGCCTGGAGCCGCGGCGCTCAGATTGGCTGTTCCCAGCTGTGGCAGGGGATCGCCCGGGGTTGTGCCAGAGCCCACCCGTTTCCAGCTGAAGGCACCATGGATGACGCAGGATGACGCAGAGCGCCAGGGCCCAGCGCCTGTTTACGTGTGGTCTGAGCAAATGCTGACTGTTGCTTCTCGCTCCACTTTTATTTCTTCTAGCAACCAATCTGGCTGGTGCTGTGGCATAGTAGGCTAAGCCTCTGCCTGTGGCGCTGGCATCCCATATGGGCTCCGGTTCATGTCCCGGCTGCTCCTCTTCCCATCCAGCTCTCTGCTGTGGCCTGGGAGAGCAGTAGAAGATGGCTCAAGTCCGTGGGAGACCTGGAAGAAGCTCCTGGCTCCCGGCTTCAGATCAGCCCAGCTCTGGCCGTTGAGGCCTTCTGGGGAGTGAACCAGTGGATAGAAGACCTTTCTGTCTCTCCCTCTCTCTGACTCTACCTCTCAAATAAATAAAATCTTAAAAAACAATTTAAAACGAGCTTTCTTAGGAATGGGCACTTGGCCTGGGGTTAAGACGTCCACGTCACACACTGGAATACCTGGGCTCGGCTCCTGACCCGGCCTCCCGCTCACACACGCCCCGGAGGGCAGCAGGGATGGCTCAAGTGACTGGGACGCACAGGGGAGAAATTCTCTCCCTCGCTTTCTCAAGCCCTCCCTCCCCTCAGATACACAATTTTTAAACGACAAGATGTTTTTCACAGGACAACGTGAGATAATTTTTCAATCGCAGAGCGCCTCTCCTAGCCAGCCCCTCCTGACTGTGGTACACGCGTCACTGACACAGCTCACCTGCGGAGAGTGCCGGGAGCCTGAAGTGCTTCGCAGAGCTGCGCGCCCACTGCCGGCTCTGGGAACGGCGCAGAACCCGGCCCGCCCGCCGCCCGCCGCCCGCCGCCCAGAAGCGCCGCTTTCTGTCTTGCTGGTTTCCCGGCTGAGCTGCAGCCCGATGAGGTCCCTCCTCCCGGCCCGCGTGTCCCCACGCCGGCCGCCTCCCCTCCGCTTCCTCAGCTTTTCTCATGGGGACATCCAGGTGTTAACAAAAGTGCAGAGTTGTGCACGGAGCCCCAGCTTCCACAAAGGGTCCTGGCCACGCTTACCGGCTGCGCACGCTCCGTCCTCCACCTCTCTCCGACCACCTTGTCGTTATTTTGTAGTAAATAACACAAAATATGTGAGGAAAACTCCCCATTTTAGTGTAATCCAGGTAGAACTCGAGGGTTAACAGTGCTTGTATTCTCATTTAAGAAATCTTGGGGCAGCGCTGTGGCACGGGGTGGGGGGGTTAAGCATCCCATGTGAGCACTGACTGGAGCACATGCTGCCGCTAATGCAACTGGGAAAGCGGTGGGGGAGGCCCCAGTGCTCAGACCCCTGCACCCGCGAGGGAGACCCGGATGGAGCTCCTGGCTCCTGGCTTCAGCCTGGCCCAGCCTTGGCAGCTGCAGCCATTTGAGGCGTGAACCAGTGGACGGAATCTCTCTCTCTCTCTCTTCCTCTCTGTGTAACTCTGCCTTTCAAATAAATAAAATGAATCTTTAAAAATATATACACAAGCCAGCACCGCGGCTCACTAGGCTAATCCTCTGCCTGCGGCGCCGGCACTCCAGGTTCTAGTCCCGGTCGGGGCGCCGGATTCTGTCCCGGTTGCCCCTCTTCCAGGCCAGCTCTCTGCTGTGGCCCGGGAGTGCAGTGGAGGATGGCCCAAGTGCTTGGACCCTGCACCCCATGGGAGACCAGGAAAAGCACCTGGCTTCTGCCTTCGGATCAGCGCGGTGCGCCGGCCGCGGCGGCCATTGGAGGGTGAACCAACGGCAAAGGAAGACCTTTCTCTCTGTCTCTCTCTCTCACTGTCCACTCTGACTGTCAAAGAAATATGTATATATACACACACAGAAATCTTCAAGGACCTGGATACCCCCCCCAACGATGCGCCCGCCAGCCTTTGGTGACTGAGACTAAGCGCCCAGCACAGGACACCCATGAGGAGGGAGTGGACTACAGTGTATGGCTCTGGGGTCCACGTCCAGGGGCTGTGGAGCGTGCGCAGAGCAAGGGCCCAGGGGGAGCTGGGGAGCAGAGAGGCAGGGGGCACGCTTGTCATCCGTGCCTGTGTGATCTCTCCTTGTCCAGCCACGGGAGCTGGCCGTGGGGGTCCACCCCTACACTAACGCAGCCTGGTCACATCTTAGAGCCCCGGCCGTCAGGCACCATTCGTTAACAGGACTAAATTTCTACCCTCAATCTATTAACCTTAACGCACAGCTGGTCTGCCCGCCACAGCAGGGATGACCCTGGGATTCGGTTTCACCTGTCACAGGTCAGTCTGCACCCGGCAGGAGCTGACTCCCGTGTGGTGTGGGGTGGAGGCCACGCTGCATCCTCACGGCTGCCCGGGGACAGCCCCTGAGTTTCCCGCCTTCCTCGAAGTGCGACCTCCCCACCAAGAGCTGCAGGGCTCTGTTTGGCTCCACGGTGGCCTTGTGGGCTTCACCGTCCAGTTGGTTAGATTCCCCCAGCATCTGCGCTGGGCCCCTCTGGCCCTCTGTGCTGCCATTGACCTTTAGAATTTTCAGCTGGCTTCTCAGTTTCCACCAGAAAGAGGCGACCACGGATTTCACTTGTGGCTGCCTCAAATCTATGCGATGCTTTTGGAAGAAATAACGCCCATACGTGCTTCCTCGTGCGACGTCTGCTTCCTGAGGTCTCTGTAGATGTCCTCAGGAGTCTGATTTGCTACGCAGAGCACGGCACATCTTTCATTTAGTGTGTGGCTGGTGTGTGCTTCTTTAGCCGATTGTTTGTGGCTAGAATGTGGAATACAGTTGATTTTTCTGTACTGGTCTTCTGTCCGATATCCAACAACCTTGCGAGCTTCACTACTGTTCTCCATAGTTTGTGAATTATTTTCGAGTTTCCACCGGACAATCAGGTTCTCTGCGCCCGTGACAGCTTTGCTTCGTAGCTGCCGGTTTAAATTCCTTTAAGTCCTGTTTCTCGTCGACTTGCACTGGCGAGGATGCTGGTATAGTGCGGGTAGGGAGGACGCGAGGACTCTGTCTCGTTCCTGAGCTCTGAGGGGAGGTTTTCAACGCCTCGTCTTTAAGTAAACTGTTCGCTGCACACCCTCTGAGTGCACGTGTTCTTACACTAGATTCCTCGGCACGCCAGTGCGAGAACAGGTTTTGTAAAAGCACGAGTGGATTTGGAATTGGCCGTAAGTTTTCTCTCTACTCAAATGCTCGTGCGATGTTTCTTTCACACACATTATGTGATATTACAGGTTCTTCTTGACTTATGACGACGAACTTGTAAATGGAAAATATTATAAATTAAGAATGCGCTTAATAACCTGCCAAGTACACTGCTCAGTGTGCGCGTTCTGAAATGCGCCTGAACTGGGCCGGATCTTCTAACACAAAGCCTGCGTCACAACAGAGCCCAGTCGCTCATCACTGATTGAACACCTGTATCCAAAGGCTACAGGCAACACAGCCCACTGTCTCCCCTCCGGCCAGGGGGCTGGCTCAGAGCTGCACCTGCTGCCCAGCACCAGAGAGACGCGGCCCATGCAATCACACACCCCAGGCACAGTTCCCACTGCACTGCATCAAAAAGCAAACCCATGGTGGGCCAGGGACCGCCTGCACTTGCTAACGTGATGGATCACATCGAGTAGTGATTAAACACTCACCCAGCCTCACACCCTGGGCAAACCCACTGCAGTTTGCTGTTGACGCTTTGCCCGCCCCGCGATTTCTGGTTCCTCACATTTTGTGTGGATTTCGATCTCACTTAATGAGGGATATGTCCCTGGTGTTGTCCCTTTCTTCCCTCTCTCGTTAGACACGCTCCTCGGGATTTCATAGCCAGATCATGCTTGCTGCCAGGCGAGTTAGACAGCGCCTCTCCCTATTTTCTGGAAGAATATTTTACGTGTTATTTGATCTTTACTCCTCAGTAAAGCCGCCTGGGCCTATTTTTACTTATTTTAGGGGCTTTGGGGAAACTTCTATTTCTTTACTTAGTACAACATTTAAATTTTCTAATTCTTCTATAATCACTTCTAATACGCTGTGTCCTTCAAGGAATTTGTCAATTTCATCTCTATTTAAGATTTATTTTCACAGAACTATTTGTGTCTTTTAAAATATTGATATTTATTGAGAGACAGACCCTTCCTCTCCTGGTTCACTCTCCAGTGCCCACAAGGCTGGAACTGGAGCCGGGAACACAAGCCAGGTCGCCCACGTGGGCGGCAGGAACGCAGCTCTCCCATCACGGGGCTCGCGGGGCTGGGGCGGGAGCTGAGAGCGGGCGTCCCACGTGGGCTGGGGCGCCTCGACCAGCTCTGCAGTGCTGGGCTGTGTCTGCCGCTCCTACCTGTGTCCTTCTCTCCTTTTGTTTAACTTATTTGAGAGGTGGGGGTGGGGGGAGGGAGAGACAGAGATTCAGAGGTTCGGAGAGCTCCCATCCGCAGTTTTACTCCCCAGATGCCCACGATGGCTGGGCCTGGGCCAGGCTGAAGCCCGGGTTCTGGGTGAGTGGCAGGGACTCGAGCTCTGGGGCCATCGCCTGCTGGCCCCGGGGTCTGCACTGGCAGGAAGCTGGGCTCCAGGACCAGAGCTGGGAATTAAGCGCTAGCACTTACCTGTGGGACAAGGGCAGCGCCCGGAACCCCCCGGCTAGCTACGCTGCCCGGTTCTGGTCTCACTCACTACACTACCCGGTCTGGTCTACTCACTGAGGCACTAGCTACGCTGCCCAGTTCTGGTCTCACTCCCTGAGGCACTAGCTACGCTGTGTGGCTCTGGTCTCACTGAGGCACTAGCTACACTGCCCGGTTCTGGTCTCACTCCCTGAGGCACTAGCTACACTGCCCGGTTCTGGTCTCACTCGCTGAGGCACTAGCTACGCTGTGTGGTTCTGGTCTCTCTGTGGCACTTCTACTTGGACCCATAGGCTATTTACAAATGTGTTGCTTAATTTCCAAACATCTGGAAGTTGCTGTTACTGCTAGTTTTACTATTACCCTGTTTGTATTACATTGTTATTTAAAAGTGAATTCTTGCTTGGACCATGGGCTCTGCACCAGCTGTGCACTGAAAAGATGAGAAAGAGGCCCCTGGTGAGAGCAGATGGGGCAGGGCCGGCAGCACCTGCCCCGGGAGCACCAGCAGCACCTGCCCCGGGAGCACCAGCAGCACCTGCCCCGGGAGCACCAGCAGCGCCTGCCCCGGGAGCACCGGCAGCGCCTGCCCCGGGAGCACCGGCAGCGCCTGCCCCGGGAGCACCGGCAGCGCCTGCCCCGGGAGCACCAGCAGCGCCGGCCCCGGGAGCAGCGCTGGCCTCCTTTCAGTAGCAGAGGGCACTCGTGGGACAGCCACCCCCGCTAGGGCCCTGAGTGGCCATGCCACGGGCACCCAAGGAGTCGCTGTCCAATAACGAGCAGGAGACGTTTGCCACCGCATCACTGCCAAGTACACGTGACCTGGAGTTTCGCTCCAAGCTGGTGAAATCCGATACTTCCGGCTTGAAATCATAGTCATCGTTAGGCATTCCATGTGATGTGTGCAAAACGTGCATATCATTTCCACGTTAGGGTTCCTGTGAAAACAGGACCCCTCGCTAGCATCCCCCCAGCGGCCCCTGTGTGCTGGGCACGCCTCCACGTGCTGGCCTTGCTGGGTCAGCCATGTGTTACCACCATCTTCAGATGAAGACACGAGGCCGCTGTTTTGTCTAGGGCTGTCCACAGTCACTGTCCACAGTCACGACCTGACAGCAGGGGCTGGGCGCTGGCCACTGCTCAGGATGCCTGCGCCCCAGGGCAGGGTGCCCTCTCAAGTGCCAGCCCCGCTCCCGACGCCGACTTCCCACCAGTGCATCCCGGGAGGCAGATCTAAGAGCTTGGCCCCCCCCCCCACATGGGAAACGCAGATGGAGTTCAGCACTTGTGGGCATTCGGGGGGTGAACCAGCAGGTGGGATCTCTCTCTGTCCCTCTCTCTCCTTCCAAGTGGGTAATAAATGAGTAAAGGTGTTTTTAAAGACATCGAACACCGGCACCCAGCTCTGCGATGCCGGCAGTCACGAGTGCCCCCTTGGCGTTTTCGGTGTAGCAGCGGCATTTTAAGTGCTCAATTTATATTAACTCACTCAATTTTGCCATAAACCAGGGAGATACGGGCTGCATAGACGTGCAAGCAGAGGCTTGGGGGGGGTCAGAGACCCAGAGCTGAGCACTCGCGGGGCAATCTGACCATGCGGTGGCCTCTCTGTCCTCGCCGTCACTTGGAGGTCTGCAGGGGTCAAGCTTCAGGTCACCAGGACCATCCCACTGTCACCTGTACATCAGAAATGATGGGACGTGGATCTCTGCACAGATATTCTGCCCATAAATAAGATCTTAGTAAAGTGTTTTCACATATTTAAAATGTAAGAACATATCTTACAGGGGCTGGCACTGTGGCGTAGCAGGTAAAGCCTCCGCCTGGGGCCCTGACATCCCATATGGTGCCAGTTCAAGTCCCAGCTGCTCCACTTCCAATCCAGCTCCCAGATAACAGCCTGGGAAAGCAGTGGAGGACGGCCCAGGTGCTCGGGCTCCCACACTCACGTGGGAGACCCAGAGGAACCTCGTGGCTCCTGGCTTCAGATTGGCCCAGCTCCACCACTGCAGCCATTTGGGGAGTGAATCAGTGGACGGAGGACCTTGTTCTCTGTCTCTCCCTCTCCTTGTCTGTAACTCTGGCTCTCAAGTAAATAAATAAATATTTTTTAGAAAAAAAAAACCCATACCTTTGAGGCACAATAGAAATATGGTGCAGGGGTGGGCACTGGGCACAGCAGTTGAGACCCTGCTTGGGGGCCCACAGCCCACATCACAGCCTGGGCTGCAGTCCTGGCTCCATTTCCTGTTCCGGCTTCCTGCGAATGTGCACCCTGGGAGGCCGCTGGTGATGGGCTCCTGGCTTTGGCCTGGCCCAGCCCTGGCTGAGGCATTCGGGGGAGTGAATGGAAGTGGATGGAAGACGTCTGGCTCTCTCTCGCTCTCTCGCTCTCTCTCGCTCTCGCTCTCTCTCTGCCTTACAAATAAATAAAAATTAAAAAAATAATTTGCAAGCCACTGTACTGACAAGCATCGTTAGCCCAAGCTTGCGTTCTGTGACGGAAGAAATGACTGTATGGAGACCAGCAACCATGCGCATCGGGTTCTTCAGGGGCTGCAGCCGGAATCATTCCAGCCAGAAGTCGACACTCAAACCCCTGTGGGCTCTGTGCCTGTGCTGCCGGGACGGGCTGGGTCGGCCCGAGGCCACGGCAAGGGTGGCGGGGCCCTCACGCCTGCGGGGGCGCTGGCTGTCCAGCGCGGGGCACCTGCTGTGATCTGACCAACTTCAACTCAAGTCGTGACCATTCGCTGCTGAAGCTTTCGCCGCCAGCCTCTGCTGGGTGTGCATGACCCCCCCTTCCCGAGGCAGGATCCACCCCGAGGCCAACTGGCTTTACGGAGTCATTCCAGGAAGGAAGCGGAGCCCGAGGACCCCCGAGGGCTTCAGCATAAGGCTCCCTTGTTCCCTCTGCAGAGCGTCTGCACATCTGTGCTGGTGCAGCCACCGCTCCCTTGTTCTGCCCCACACAAAGGGCCTCTGTGACGTCACGGCAGCCAGAGGCCTCGCGGCCTCCTGCAGAGGAGGGACAGGCCCTCCAAGACTTCGCCACGCATTGCAACGCTGAGAGCCCGCGGCCACGGCCACAGCAAAGGCCCAAGTGAGGGAAGTACAGTCCAGGACGGGAAAAAGGAACTCGGCAAACCGGGGCCACACCTGACAGCCGCAGCGCGGCAAGGAAGCAGCCTTTGCGCGCCGGGCGGCTGCCGGCCACAGGTCCCTGCCGCCGCCTGGGCTGCGGCCCTCGCCCGGGTGCAGGGTCTGGAGAGGAGGTCGTGAGGGCCCTGGTCTGCTGGGATTCCGGCCTTCAGAGGAGGCAAAGGGGCCCTCGTGAGAACAGAGCCCCGTGGGCCCCCAGCAACCCTGCCATCACACTGCCCGGTCTACGGCGCGTGCTCGATGGCCTGCAGTGAGCAGAGACGGCGGGTGCACCTGCGCCGTCTCAGGAACCCCGAGGACTGACGACGAGCCCGCTTGATTCCCAAGTCAGCTGTGGGACACGAACACACACTGAGCTCTTTCTTTCTTTTTAAGATTTTATTTATTTGAAAGAGTTGCACAGAGAGAGAAGGAGAGGCAGAGTTAGAGAGAAGAGAGAGGTCTTTCATCTGGGTCACTCCCCAGTTGGCAGCAACCGCCAGAGCTGCGCCGATCCGAAGCCAGGAGCCAGGAGTTTCCTCTGGGTCTCCCATGCGGGTGCAGGGGCCCGGGTCGTGGGCCATCCTCCACTGCTTTCCCAGGCCACAGCAGAGCTGGGTCGGAAGAGGAGCAGCCGGGACTTGAACTGGCATGCATACAGGATGCGGGCGCTGCAGATGGCGGCTTTACTGCCATGCCACAGCGCCGGCCCCTGAACTGTTTCTGAATAAGCCCATTTGGTTACCACCTGACCATCAGTACCCTCACAAGAGAAGCAGCTCCTTGGGAACGCAGAAAGCTCATGGAGTCAGCCACAGGCACAGGACGCCAAGCCCCGGGCCCCACGGGGTGGCTCGGGGCTCAGAGGTGTGGTTTCTGGGCGCGTCCTCTGGCTGCGATGCCACAGAGCATTCCTGCGGGATGAAGTGGGCAAGCTGTGGAGGGCGCCCCCCGTCTGGGGTCCCTGTGACACTGCTGTGAGACGCCCCCTAAGACACTCATTGTAAAGACGTCACCCCGAGGTGTGCCTTGTCATCTCTTGACATCTGTCCCCAGCTGAGATGGGCAAGAGCCCCCCGCAACACCGACAGCGGCCCCGCTCCGAGCGCAGCTCCTCGGATTCCGGATAACGGATGCCCCGGGCGTGGGTGGGGCAGCTGAGGGAGGCGCAATGTCCTCGGGAGACAGCTCTGCCCGGTGTGTGTGTGTGTGAGTGTGAGAGTGTGTGTGCATGTATATGTGTGCTGTGTGTGTGCGGTGTGAGTGTGTGTGCTGTGTGAGAGTGAGAGTGTGTGTATGTGCTGTGTGTGCTCTGTGTGTTGCGTGTGCTGTGTGTGTGTTGTGTGTGTGTGTGCCATGGACTGACGAGGGCCAGGGTGCATATGTGTGTGTGTGCTCTGTGTGTGTAGTGTGTGTAGTGTGTTTTGTGTATGTGTGCTGTGTGTTGTGTGTGTGCCATGGACTTACGAGGGCCAGGGTGCATGTGTGTGTGTGTGTGTGCTCTGTGTATGTGTGTTGTGTGTGTGCCATGGACTGACGAGGGCCAAGGTGCATGTGTGTGTGTGTGCTCTGTGTGTAGTGTGTATGTGTGTGTGCTGTGTATGTGTGCTGTGTGTGTGTAGTGTGTGTGTAGTGTGTTGTGTGTGTATGCTCTGTGTGTTGTGTGTGCGCCATGGACTGACGAGGGCCAGGGTGTAGTGTGTGTGTGTGTGTAGTGTGTGTGCCATGGAATGTGTGTGTGTGTGCTCTGTGTGTGTGTGTTGTGTGTGCCATGGGCTGACGAGGGCTGGGGGGTGAACCAAGGCTTCCGGCTTGGTTGGCCCCGTGAGCGGTGAGGCCAGCGGCAGAGGCACAGAAGCAGTGCCCGCGCCGCGCCGGACCGGACCACCGCTCGCGCCGGGGGCTCTCGGGCCCCTGGGCCACGGTTTGCAGGATCTGTCTGCTGAGAACCCGCCTGCAGCCATGTTGGGGCAGCAGCTCGGGAAGCGCAGGAGCAGCCGTCACCCGCTCACCGCCCGGCCCGCTGCCTCCGGCCCGCCGCTCGCCGTGCGTGGGGCACGTGGGAGCCCCGCGGCGGCCTTGCTTCCTTCCTCGAGCCAAAGCCCACTCCT